TAGGTAGGTGGTTACCCCCTCGAGGGAGAATATCCCAAATCGCATAAAAAATTATCTAAATTTATGTTAAAAGGACTTCTTTTTGGCTCTTTTGGTTACTCTGGAAATCCCTTCCCAATCCTTGGAAATCTACCCACAATCCCTAAATTCTCAATCTTGTCACATTTTTCTTCAGAAGTTTGGTACTAATTTAGTGCTGAGCCCTTTGAATGTGCCACAAGTCCTAAAATAATTAATTTATACACTCTTATCAACCTTCTACAGGTTCTCCTTCAGAATTTATGGCATGTCCGAAGGGCTCGGTACCAATTTAGTGTGTTCAGCGTTTTTTTGTGTAAACTTCATTTTCTTTTTTCTCAGCTCAGAGATTTTACCGGTTTTCAGCTTCAAAAAAACATTAATCAGTGTAGGTTTTAGTACTTTTTAGCTTATTTTTAAGGAAAACTGGACATTTTAATGAGAATTATGCACAGACAGTACACAAAGCCTTAATGACGTCTTTTTTTAGGTCTGTATTACGTCTGAACGTCTGAATACCAAAAAAAGACGTCTAGAAGACGCTGTTTTGAAGGTGTCCATAAGATGCCGTAAATCAACATCTTTTCTCTTTAGAATGTCTTATGGCTATTTGCATAGCTATCACTTAAGGGATATTTGATCTAAGTCGAGCATTGAATGTGACTTTTGTTTTTACAAGAGTCTTGAGTATTTTTCATACTTTACCTAGACAGCACACAAAGTCTTGAAGACGTCTTTTTAAGGTCTGAAGACCAAAAAAAGAAGTTGTTTTGAAGATGTTCATGAGATATGGTAAATTCACATCTTAAAGACAAATATTTGGTACAACCAGGTCTAAAAGTGACCAATGGTTTATGTATTGAAAAGAGATTGAAAGACATCTCCTTGATTAAGTACGTGTTGAGAATGTCTCAGTCCTAAAGACGTCTTTAGGCAGACTTGGGTTTTGTAACTTACAACGTCTATAACGCCTTCAAGACGTAAGCAAGACATCTTGAATGTCATTTGTGGACATCCTCTTAGGCTTTTTGGAAAGTTCAAAATACTTAAAATTCGATTCAGAATTACCAAAAGCATTCTGTTGCGCTTCAGAACATTGAAAATTTCAGAACCATTTCAGAATGCTCCAAAACATTCAAAAACCTATTTACAATTTCCAGAAGCATTTTAGAATAGTTCAGAAGTTTGAAATCCTTTCTAGGACGCTCCAAAACACTCTAGAATCTCCAGAAACATTTTGGATTCAGGTTACAAAACGTCTTTCAGAAGGCTTTTAAGAACGAATTTAGATTGCTGTACAACTTTAGACCTTTAGTAAGCATTCACAAAAGTTCAAATCTAAATCAGAATTCCCAGGATCATTTTGGAACAATTTAGAAATTTCAGAGTTACTTTAGAACAATTAGGATTCAATTTAGAATTGCAAACCTTTTAGAATTCTTTTGAATCAGTTTAGAACACGTTGGAGCTTCAATATAGGGCTCTTGAATACTTGAAAATATGTTAGAACGATTTAGAAATCACTGAAAACCTTCTAGGATGCTCCAGAACTCTTCAAGCCATGTTGGAACACTTTAGAATTTCAATAAACCATTCAGAACGTTCCGAAATACTTTCCAGCAGCATTTTGAAAGGCTTTACAACAGAATTATTTCAGAGAGCCTAGCGCTAGTGTTAGGAATAGGAAAAAATTGAAAGTTTTAAAATGAGAAATACAATAATGAAATATTAGTTTTAAAGTCGTCTTTAAGGCGTCTTGAAGACTACCTCTCGAATGTCGTTTGTAGACATTTTAGGGACGTCTATTAACGATCAAAGATCTCGAAAAATTTTATTGGTTTTGAGCTATTTAGACTCAAGGCAGAAACTTTATAGAGTGTAAAAAGGAACAGTGGCGTACCTGAAGGGCTCAGTATCTACCAATTTACCGTGTTTTGTAGAAATTTCTCATGATTTTAGCCTTATTTTAGCGTGTTCTTTTGAATAGAAAATTTCTCAGCTCACAAATTTTAGAACTTTTCATTTAAAAACAAATCAACTATTGTAGATTTCAGTGTATTTTCAAGGATTTCTCAAAAATTTTATGCCTAAACCACCTTGAAAAATATGTACACCAGAATCCCACGAAATCCTACTGGAATTCTGTATGGAGTATAGGGGACAGTGTTGTCAGATGTCAAATTTAAAATTATCAGGATTTGAGAACAAAATTATCAGATTCCAAGAAAAATTATCAGAAAAAGTTTCTGTCAACTTTTTTGACTTTTTATCTCTATTTTTATTTTTCGGGTTCTAGCTGGGACTCTGGCAATTGCAGCTCTCAATAAGAGCTTCAAAAAAAGTTATTCAAGACTTTGAGCCCAAGGGCTTCATTTTCAAGATAATCGTCTTTGAAGCTTTTGCAAAATTTGAGAATAAGTTTTAACTTTGAGCCTCAATATCTTCACAAGTATTTAAGATATAGAATTGAGTCTTATTTTATCTTGAAGATAATTTAATTCTGATTCAGAATATATAATTTCAGATCATATTTGTTATAATAATAACCGAGTAATCAGCAATTTTGTGAAAGTATGTTAGATTAATGAAATTTTTTGAGCCCAAAAATTGCAAAAATCGTTTTTATTTTTTAACAAGGCTTTAAAACCCAAAAAGGAAAGTTCTGAAAATGCTTTTCTACTAATTTTAACCTCTTCTTTCGATTGGTGAAGTCAAAAATTGCAAAATTCAAAAAATTTAAAAATTCTAATTTTTCCAAAGGATGCATGGAAATTTGATTTTCAAATATTTCAAAGGGCCATATTTTGGACACCAGTGAAGCTATTGGCATGAATCTTTTTCCCAATTGTAGCTCTTAATAAGGGCTACAAAAAAGGTTATTTAGGACTCCGAGCCCAAGGGCTTCGTTTTGAAGATAATCCGCCTGAAAGCTTTTGCAAAATTTGAGATAAAGTTTCAACTTTGAGCCTCAATATCTTCAGAAGTATTCGAGATATAGAATTGAGTCTTATTTTATCTTGAAGATAATTTAATTCTGATTCAGAATATATAATTTTAGATCATATTTGTTACATTGATAACCGAGTAATCAGCAATTTTGTGAAAGAATATCAGATTATTGAAATTTTTTTGAGCCCAAAAATTGCAAAAATCGTTTTTATTTTTTAACAAGGCTTTAAAACCCGAAAAGGAAAGTTCTGAAAATGCTTTTCTACTAATTTTAACCTCTTCTTCCGATTGGTGTAATCAAAAATTGCAAAATCCAAAAAATTTAAAAATTCGAATTTTTCCAAAGGAGTTTGCATGGAAATTGGATTTTCAAATATTTCAAATGCTTGTATTTTGGAAACCAGTGAAGCTATTGGCATGAATCATATTTGTTACAATATAACCGAGTAATCAGCAATTTTGTGAAAGAATGTCAGATTATTGGTTCTGACTGACACAAGGTAGAAATTTTAAATGTAGAAAGGACCAGTGGCGTGCCCGAAGGGCTCGGTATCTATCAATTTAGCAATTAATTCACTAATGAGTCGTTCTGATATATAAAAATGAGGAGTTTTTGAACTACAGAATCTCACATGCTTGTACACTATAATTCCAAGGTGGTTTACCCCTCAGCATTCTTTAGATGAATTTCTCACATTTTCAGGAATAGAAAATTTTACAGCTTTGCTATACATATTAAAAAAAAAAAAAACGTATATTTAGAGAAAAAAAAATTCAATGATTTCAGTATTTTTCAGCGTTTTTGAAAAAACGTCTTCAAATTATGAACTTACAATGGTTTTCTAGAAAAATTATGATTTAGGATATCCAGGGAAACTTGGAGAAGTCCGAGAAAATGAAAAAATTCAAGGAAATTGAAGGAATTTCAAGGAAATCTTGAGAAATCTGGAAGATGGTCTAAGTATAAAATCCAAAGCCTGAAAAAATGTTGGAAATTTCCAAAACTTGATGTATTAAATGAAAGAAATCACGAACATTTCTTATATGAGACAAAGGGCTTGGTATCTACCAATTTAGCATCTTCAACATTTATCTCTAGAAACTTCTCATGATTTATTTTAGTGTGTTTTCCTGAATAGAAAATTTCTCAGCTCACAGATTTTAGAACTTTACAGCTGAATACAAATCAATTATTGTAGGCTTCTCAGCGTATTTTCAAGGATTTTTCAAAAAATTTGTGTCATTTTCAGGAAAAAGAATATTTTTCAAATAAAAAATCAACATTTTTCTCAAGTAAAAAGACAAATGTAATACATATTTTAGAATTTATATTTTCAGCATTCTACATAATTCAAATTATGAACTCACAGCAGAAGAAATAGAAAAAATACCATGTAGAATATCATCCAAAGAAGTTGGAGGAATTTCAATGGAAGTTTCTCATATAGACTTTAGCATGATTGAAGATTTAACGTTTAAACTTACCTATTTAAGCAGGACATTCAGTCCGAAATGTAGACAAAATAGGGACATATTTATACAGTGCCAGAATGAGTAAGCTTCTACAATAAAAGTGTTGGTTTTGTTAATTTGCAATTCCAGCAAGAAAACAAAAATCTTCAAGTTGAAAATGGTGAACTCTAGATAATTGGAAAATGAGCTTAAAGGAGCCTTAATAAGGAAGCAGGAGTTTTCAACGAGTAAAACATTTTTGTTACACCATTTAGCGTAACACTTCTAAAGATAATCAGGCTTATTATAAAGAGGATGTTGAGGATGTTTTGCAATAAAGTCAGATATAATGTGGTAGTTAAATTTTAAGATTTTGCATATTATGAATTCCTTGTTGATGGACAAGTAAATCCCAAAAGAATTTCAAAAGCTGAATAAAACCCAAACAAACTTTGTCTGCTCTCCGTCTCTATACGACATTTTTATTAAAAGAACACACACACAAAACACGCTCACTCAACTTGACCACCCACACGTGGAAAAAAAAAGAAGAAAAATTAAAATAAAAATCGACTACATACGTGGTCCAAAAGGCCTTCTTCTTATGTACTCCTTGTCTCGCGGCATCTTCACCGATTCACGTCAAATTCCGGCATCGTTTACCAAAATCCTTTTTCGGACAACTTTTAGTCCTTAACTGTCCTAACATTATTCAACACTACAACCCATTAATAATTTCAATTACCAAGAAAAAAACACTCAATTTACACAATTTTTCGAAAAGTTTCGGAAAAAGTTTACGATACTTTTTGCGCTAATAGGACAAGAGAGCGGAAACGGTATGGACCGACGTTACGGGCTGCTGTCTCGCGACTAAATGCGGCTACGAGGGGGACCGAAACGGGCCGAACACCTGAGAAATTACCTGTTCGAGAGAGACTGATGAGGGGGAGAGAAGGGCAGAGATCTTGTGGGGGGAACGTTTATTAGGTTTTAGTGGTGATTAGTATTGTTATATTATTATTATATTTTTTGGGGGGCGAGACACAAGGGATTTTGTGGGGAAGCGACGAACTTTATGATTGGCAGACTAGTCAAAAAGAGACTAATTGTGAAGAAAAAAGTTTTGAGTTCAAACTGCAGGTTGGTTTTTTTACACCAGATTCAATTTTAGGGGAAATCATGGATGATTTCCTTAAGATTTCCCCCGATATCCTTAAGATTTCTCTTATTTCCTTTGATTTCCTTATGATTTCCCCTGATTGCCTTAGATTTCCTCGTATGTCATCTTCTTGATTTCCCCTAATTTGTACACCAGATTTCCTTTGCGGTTTACCTCTGAGGAAAAACCACATTTCGCAGGTAAGTTTTTGTACACCAGATTTCTTCTGATTACCAGTAAAATTGCCCAAGAGTTCTCCTGTTAACATAAGCTCAAATTATATTCAAAAATTCTGAGTACTCTTTTGAGAAGAATCTACACTTTTCAAATCTTGAATTCTGCAGATTTCCAAGATTTCTTATTGAATTTGTTCAAATACTCTGGAATCTTAAAGATTCTGAATTCGCTTTAAAGAAGCATCTACAGTTCTGGAAATTTTGAATTCTTCAATTTTTAAAAATTTCTCGTTATCTTTATTCAAAAATTCTAAAATGTTCTTATTAATGAATGAACCTTTCCCGCAGCAATTTACTCATGAAATGTACTCATTAGTTCAATACTTTTTTAATACATTTTTAAATAAGAATCTTTACTCATTAGTTCAAAACCTCACCTATTTTCCAGGTCAGAATCTTCACTGATTAGTTTAAAAACTCCCCATAACAGAACGGCTAATTAATGAATAAATTGCTGCAGATTTAGTCATGAAATAATGTATTTTTAACTCATTAGTGTATTTTATCTAGATACTGATTTACTTGAGCTTTTCCATGATTTCCTTAAGATTTCCCCCGAGTTCCTTGAGATTTCCCTTGATTTTTTAAAAAAATTTCTCGGTTGCCTTAGATTTTCCCTAATTTGTACATCAAATTTCCCTTGCGGTTTACCCCTCGGTCCAAACAAACCACAACTTCATTGGACTTTTTCTAAATTTTGATCAATTTTCAAAACTTTCAATCCCTATAAGAATCTCCACAAATACACGCTACAAGTTCTAAAATAGTCAAATTATGCGGACTTTTCAAAGTTCAAAAGAAAGGTACTGCTTTAAAACCTGTGACGTACTACTTCAACATCAAAATTCTCGGAAAAAAATTGGTTTTCAGTCCAAAAAAGCTTGATATCAATCGAGACACAATCATTATACAATCAGACCACATTCTGTCACAATAGTTACACAATCTGTCACAATTGTTAAAAAATCTCTCACAATTGTTAAACAATATCCTAAAATCGTTACACAATCTACCACCATCTGTGTGACACGTGAATCTTTTCAATAATTTTAGTCGACTTTATTTTCAATCACAATCATTCACAATCTTAGCAAATTTCCTTGAGAATTGTGGAATTTGACACTCGGTCTACACATTTTACAAGGGGTAAACCACCATCCCAGAATTCATGCAAACTATTTCTCAAAGGGGAATTTTTTACGCATAATTCCTCAAAATTCCTGCAAATTCCTCCAAATTTTTCCAGATACCCTATCACAAATTCCTCCAAATACCCCCACTCTAAATACCCCACAAATTCCTTTAAATTTCCTGCGAATTTCATGAAGAATCTTGGAAATCAACCTACAATAACTGAATTAATTGAAAATACAGTCTCACACATTTCAAAGTTTTTCTGGAAAACTAGTGAAGGCAAAAATTTGAAACTTTTTACATGTGAAGTGGAAGGTGAGAAGCTCATTTTCCCTAAATTTCAAATTTTTCCAGTGAAAAACAGCAACATGAAAAATCTTGGAAATCAACCTACAAAAATTGAATTAGTTGAAAATACGTCTCACACATTTCAAAGTTTTCCTGAAAAACTACTAAAGGGAAAATTTTTAAATTTTTTGCATGGGAAGAAAAAGGTGGGAAGTTTATTTTCCCAAAATTTCAATTTTTTTCAGTGGAAAATAACAACATAAGGAATATTGGACATCAACCTACAATAACTGAATTAATTGAAAATAAGTCTCACACATTTCAAAGTTTTCCTGGAAAACTACTGAAGGGAAAATTTTGAAATTTTTTGCATGTAAAGAGGAAGATAAGAAGCTCATTTTCCCAAAATTTCAATTTTTTTCACTGGAAAATAACAACATAAGGAATATTGGAAATCAACCTACAATAACTGAATTAATTGAAAATACAGTCTCACATATTTCAAAGTTTTCCTGGAAAGCTAGTAAAGGGAAAATTTTAAACTTTTTGCATGTAAAGAGGAAGGTGAGAAGCTCATTTTCCCAAAACTTCAAATTTTTCAGTGGAAAATAACAACATAAGGAATACTGGAAATCAACCTACAATAACTGAATTAATTGAAAATACAGTCTCACATATTTCAAAGTTTTCCTGGAAAACTAGTGAAGGGAAAATTTTGGAACTTTTTGCATGTAAAGGGGAAGCTGAGAAAATCATTTTCTCAAAATTTAAAAATTTTTCCAGTGGAAAACAGCAACATGAGGAATATTGGAAATCAACCTACAAAAACTGAATAAGTTGAAAATACAGTCTCACAGATTTCAAAGTTTTCCTGGAAAATTAATAAAGGGAAAATTTTGAAACTTTTTGCATGTAAAGAGGAAGGTGGGAACATTATTTTTCCAAAATTTCAAATTTTTCCAGTGGAAAACAACAACATAAGGAATATTGGAAATCAACCTACAATAACCTGAATTAATTGAAAATACAGTCTCATATATTTCAAAGTTTTCCTGGAAAATTGGTGAAGAGAAAATTTTGAAACTTTTTGCCTGTAAAGAGGAAGGTGAGAAGCTCCTTTTCCCAAAATTTCAAATTTTTCCAGTGGAAAACAACAACATGAGAAATATTGGAAATCAACCTACAAAAACTGAATTAGTTGAAAATATAGTTTCACACATTTCAAAGTTTTCCTGGAAAACTAGTCAAGAGAGAAATTTGAAATTTTTTGCATGTAAAGAAAAAGGTTAGAAGCTCATTTTCCCAGAATTTCAAATTTTTCCAGTAGAAAATTACAACATGAGGAATCTTGGAAATTAACCTACAATAGCTGAATTCATTGAAAATACAGTTTCACACATTTCAAAGTTTTCCCGGAAAACTAGTGAAGAGAAAATTTTGAAGCTTTTTGCATGTAAAGAGAAAGGTGAGAAAATCATTTTCTCAAAATTTCAAATTTTTCCACTGGAAAACAACAACATGAGGAATATTGGAAATCAACCTACAAAAACTGAATTAGTTGAAAATACAGTCTCACAGATTTTAAAATTATCCTGGAAAACTAGTAGAGAGAAAATTTTGAAACTTTTTGCATGTAAAGAGGAAGGTGAGAAAATAATTTTTCCAAAATTTCAAATTTTTCCAGTAGAAAATCACATGAGAAATCTTGGAAATCAACCTACAAAAACTGAATTATTTGAAAATACAGTCTCACACATTTAAAAGTTTTCTTGGAAAACTAGTAAAGAGAAAATTTAGAAACTTTTTGCATGTAAAGAGGAAGGTAAAAACATCATTTTTCCAAAATTTGAAATTTTTCCAGTAGAAAATTACAACATGAAGAATCTTGCAAATCACTCTACAAAAACTGATTCAGTTGAAAATTCAGTCTCACACATTTTAAAGTTTTCTTGGAAAACCAGTAAAGAGAAAATTTTGAAACTTTTTGCATGTAAAGAGGAAGGTGAGAACATCATTTTTCCAAGATTTCAAATTTTTCCAGTAGAAAATAGCAACATAAGGAATATTGGAAATCAACTTACAAAAACTGAATTAGTTGAAAATACAGTGTTACACATTTCAAAGTTTTCCTGGAAAACTAGTCAAGAGAGAAATTTGAGATTTTTTGCATGTGAAGAGAAAAGTTAGAAGCTCATTTTTCCAGAATTTCAAATTTTTCCAGTGTAAAATTACAACATGAGGAATCTTGGAAATCAATCTACAATAGCTGATTTCATTGAAAATACAGTCTCACACATCTCAAAGTTTTCCTGGAAAACTAGTAAAGAGAAAATTTTGAAACTTTTTGCATGTAAAGAGGAAGGTGAGAAGATTATTTTCCCAAAATTTCAAATTTTTCCAGTGGAAAATAACAACATGAAAAGTCTTGGAACTCAACCTATACACAAACTGAATTAGTTGAAGATACAGTCTCACACATTTCAAAGCTTTCCTGGAAAACAAGTGAAGGGAAAATTTTGAAACTTGTAAAGAGGAAGTTGAGAAGCTAATTTTCCCAAAATTTCAAATTTTTCCAGGGGAAAATAACAACATGAAAAATCTTGGAAATCAACCTACAATAACTAAATTAATTGAAAATACAGTCTCACATATTTCAAAGTTTTCCTGGAAAGCTAGTAAAGGGAAAATTTTTAAACTTTTTGCATGTAAAGAGGAAGGTGAGAAGCTCATTTTCCCAAAATTTCAAATTTTTCAGTGGAAAATAACAACATAAGGAATACTGGAAATCAACCTACCATAACTGAATTAATTGAAAATACAGTCTCACACATTTCAAAGCTTTCCTGGAAAACAAGTGAAGGTAAAATTTTGAAACTTGTAAAGAGGAAGTTGAGAAGCTAATTTTCCCAAAATTTCAAATTTTTCCAGGGGAAAATAACAACATGAAAAATCTTGGATATCAGCCTACAAAAACTGTATTCATTATTATTTTGAATTTTTCAAATTTGGACCTGTAATCATGAAGTGCAATTTTGGGAGGATT